AGGCCAAGGTCCTTTGCTTGAGGACTTGTCAGAGCCTTTGGTAGACCCATACGTACCATGGGTCTTCAGGGGCCTTCCCAAGCTCTTTGGACCATGGAGCCTTTTTTCCCAGAGCATCTCTTGGGACTTGAGTGTGGTAAATGCTGGGCTGTCTCTCAGGCCCTTTCCACCCTCCTAGGTGAGTGCCCTGGCTGTCCTGAGCCTCCTGAGCAAAGGCCAGTCTGACTGAGGGGCCAGCCTCTGCCTGACATGTCTCGGCTCATCCCAGCTGAGGGTGCACAGGGCCCATGAGGCCTGGCACACCGGCTCCTCTGGGTGGCCGAGGGGTACAGCGTGGCATGGGAGGAACTGGGGACATCAGGGTGGGCACCCAGGTGGTGCAGCCCCTCTGACAACCTGGCCTCACCTGTCCCACAGTCGTACTGCTTGAAGGTGAAGGAGATGGATGACGAGGAATACAGCTGCATTGTGAGTGCCACGGGGGGAGGGGGCATGGCTGTGGTATTGGAAAGGCTCGGGGTGCACAAATCTTCCCCTGCCTACCTCACAGAGCCCCAAGAATGGGCTGGGTCTGCCAGGGATAGCAGGTGGGCCAGGCCAACCCAGGAGAGGCCTGGGGGTTTTGCCAGCCTCTTGTTTCTGGAGATTTGGGGTGGTTCCCCCACCCCTGGCCCCTCCGGGCCTCGGAGTGCTGGCCAGCTTGCTGTGGGACACTCCTAGTGCCTGCTCCCAGACCAGCTGTCCCCCAGACTTTGTGGGGCTCTTGCAGGGAAAAACTGACTTTCCTCACTCCTGAGAGGTGGTGTTTTACTTCTTTTTAATTTTTTTTTATAGATTTTTAAAAATTAAAAATTTTTTTTTTTATGTATTAATTTTTGGCCGTGTTGGGTCTTTGTTGTTACGCGTGAGCTTTCTCTAGTTGCAGCGAGCGGGGCTACTCTTCATTGCTTCTCATGACAGTGGTTTCTCTTGTTGCAGAGCACGGGCTCTAGGCGCATGGGCTTCAGTAGTTGTGGCGTGTGGGCTCAGTAGTTGTGGCTCGCGGGCTCTAGAGCGCAGGCTCAGTAGTTGTGGCCCACGGGCTTAGTTGCTCCACGGCATGTGGGATCCTCCTGGACCAGGGCTCAAACCTGTGTCCCTTGCATTGGCCGGCGGATTCTTAACCACTGTGCCTTCAGGGAAGCCCGTTTTTAATATTTTTGGTATCAGGGTCCATCTAGGACTAAATATTCATTTATTTAATATGGCAAGGGTTTGGGTTTTAGGTTGTTTTTTTCCACAAAGCTCTCACTAAGCGCTTCTAGCAGTCCTGGTGCCTCAGAAATGGTAGCTTTGAAGAGTGCCGTGCTGTGCAGGGGTGTGAACCTGTGGGTCGGCTCTGCAGCCTCCCTGCCCCCAACCCCCTCTGCCCCAGAGCAGGCTCCCCACCCCGCCCAGGGTCCCTGACGTGCTTCCGCTGCCCCAGGCTCTAGGGGAGCCCCTGTACCGCGTGAGCACAGGCAACTACGAGTACCGCCTGATCCTGCGCTGTCGCCAGGAGGCCCGCGCTCGCTTCTCCCAGATGCGCAAGGACGTGCTGGAGAAGATGGAGCTGCTGGACCAGAAGCACGGTGAGGACTGTGGGCTGTGGGCAGGCGCCCGGCCCGTGGGCCACACCCTGCCTCGGGCAACCCCTACACCATCCTCTCCCCATTTCACAGCTGGGAAAACTGTGGCCCAGAGAGGTACAGTACTTACCTGAGCTCCCAGGGCCAGCGCATGGCAGAGCTCTGAGTCAGACCCAAGATGGGAGCTTCCTGGAGCCTGGCCTGGGTGGGACTGGCCGTGCCCTGTGGGCTCCTTGGGGTGTAGTCCACCATCCCACCACCCTGGCAGGCCTCCTCCACTGCCTGACTGGGAGCTGGGAGGCGGCCTGGGTTCTGTGCAGGGCTGGGCAGCCCTGGCCTTGCCCCCTCCCGGGGCACGAGGGGTCAGTGAGGTGCATGATGGGATGCCCAGGAGGGCAGGGAGGGTCTTCTCCACGCGCAGGCAGCCCCGGCCCACTGGCGCCCGTCTGCCCGCCCTCCTGCCCCAGTCCAGGACATCGTGTTCCAGCTGCAACGCTTCGTGTCCACCATGTCCAAGTACTACAACGACTGCTACTCAGTGCTGCGTGACGCCGACGTCTTCCCCATCGAGGTGGACCTGGCCCACACCACGCTGGCCTACGGCTTCAGCCAGGATGAGTTCACTGACGGCGAGGACGAGGGGGAGGAAGATGAGGAGGACACGGCAGCCGGGGAGCCGTCCAGGGATGCGCGAGGGGCTGCTGGGCCCCTGGACAAGGACGGAAGCTGGTGTGACTCCTGAGTGCCCCCTTGGGGTGCGGATCTGGGGGTAGGGCGAGTGGGAGGACGGCAGCATGGGAGTGGGGGCAGGGCTGCCGCACAACAGGGTGGCGCATGAAGGCCTGCTGGCTTGGGGCGCCTGCCTCCCTGCTCCTCTGTCCCAGCACAGCGAACCCTGGCGCCCGCCCAGGAAAGGCACCGGGCGTGGCCTGGGACCTGGACACTGGCCCCTCCACCTTCCCTCCCCACCTCCCCAGCCAGCTGGAGAGCTTGGTCTCTGGACCTGCCTTAGGAAGGAGAAAGAGGGCAGAAAGGAAGAGGAGCTGGAGGTGGCGGGGAGTCCAGGAGCCGTTCCTTGTGGGCACCTCCACTGGTCCCCCGGAGACCTGCCGGGAGGGGGCGCGGGTGGACCGCCGAGCTTGGGACCAGGGTTTCACGCGCACCCTCACCTTGACCTAGGCTGGCCCCACCCCAGTCCACACTCACCTCGGCGGCCTTGATTTGTTTTATTCCCTTGCTCAGCCACTTCCCTGGGGAGGGGCTGGGCGCTGGGCCTGTACTGAATAAACACAAACCCAGATGGAGCCGGGCTCTTTGCAGTGGCCTCAGACGCTCTCTCCCCTCGACGTCCCCCCCCTTCTGCCCCCTGATCACCAAGGCAGGGCAACAAGGTTTACTGACATTCCCTTTATAGCACTGACTCCTCACAGCAGTTCTGTGGATTAGCACTACTGTCCCCATTTACAGATGGGAAACTGAGGCTCAGAAGAGGCTTGCCCAGGGCCACATGGTGTACAGGGACAGAGTGGGATCTGGACTCGGATCCATCAAATTCAGAAGACTCCACTTTTCTCCCTGCCTCCCAGGCTTTCTGCTCTGTGGAGCCTCTTACGTCCTCCCTTGTCTTTGATCCTTCAGTGCTTCTGGCCATGAACTCAACCTTTATCTGGGGAAAGGCAGGGCAGATACTGGGTCAGGAGGACCCGAGGCCCCAAACTGGGGAGAGCGTTAAGGGTGCCCCGGCCATTCCAGGTCGCCTGTTCTGCCAGGGCCAAGGGGAGAAGCCCAGTGGGCGGTACCACGCTAGTATCCCAGGTGTCCGGCTTCACCTGGACAGTCCCAGTGCACACCTGTGGTCCTAGTGTAACTATTAATAGTGGCCCTTTTCACTCTCAAAGTGTCCCTGTTTGGACAATGAAATACGTGCTCGTCCTGAGAATGGGAGGGGTGCAAGAGGGTGTGAGAGGTGGGCAGGGTCCACAATGGCCGGGGCGGGGGGTCCCGGGCAGTGACCTGAATGGGATCCTCAGGCAGGATTGGGAGTGTGGAGAGAGGGATGGGTTGTCACCACGTAGATCCCCTAGAACTGTCAGACTATACCACCTCCCTGAAGGGGCAGCCAGTGTGGAGGCCAAGGGCACAGACTGGAACCGACAGCCTAGGTTCCAGTCATAGCTTCTGTGACCCTGAGCTACCTCCTCACTTCCTGTGCCTCAGTTTCCCTATCTGAGTGTGGCTAATGAGGGTACCTACCTTCTTGGGTCCTGACTGAGGACTAGATGAGTTAACATTTGTGAAGGGCTTAGCACGGTGCCTGGCACAGTCAGTGCTCTGTGAGGATTTGTTAAAATAAGATGTAGTCACTGTTGTAGTGGCTCAGGGGAAAGCACAGACACGGTGTAAGTTGGCTGGGCATCTGCAGGGGCTCCCCACACCTTCCTGGGGCATGGATGGAAAATGAGACTAGTGGGGAGGGGGTCACCAGTGGAATGTCTCCCCTGAGGAGTACGGATGAATGGAGTCAGGGTCTGCGGTGGGAAGGCTGCTTCCTCCACTGGGCCCCGGGTCACCAAGCTGGTGATTTGGAGGGAGGGAGGCAAGGAAAGGGGTGTCTAGTTTGTGGGAAGAGAATGAATACTTAAACAGATCCCTAAACCTTCCTAGCCAGGGTGAGACCTGGAGCTCCCTGCACTTGACTCAAAGTGCCATTGAGGAGCTATCCCTGGGACTCCACTGGCGGGCGGGGGAGCAGATGCCAGGGTCCGCAGTGGCGTCCGTAGGGACACGTGTCCAGAGCAAGGGTCCCAGGACACCCGAGTTTATCCCCTAGAGAGAGGAGACCCAGAGCCGGGCTGGAAGAGGGTCCCTCTTAGGAAGGTGAGGGGGCAGGGCAGGTGCCGTTTCCCCCTCCGCCACCCCCCTGCTGTCCACAGGATGGAGTCAAAGAGTCAGGTACTCTCCACCTCCAGTGTGCGAGAGGAGCCCGGGGCTCAGGGCCAGGATCCAGCCCCAGCCCGCCACTCGGACCTGCGCTCTTTCTCTGCTCTGGGCTGCTCCAGCGGGAGGTGCTGCCAGCGAGGGCTTCAGTGTACAGCTCCGAGCAGCGGGGCTGGAGCGGGACACTTTCCCCTGCCGTCCTCCACCTCTGCCACTTCCTCCCCAACACCCACGGCGGGGGGTGGGGGGGCGGGGAGGCGGTCGGAGGGCCCCAGGGGGAGCCTCTCAGACTCCCTGCTAACCCATCCCCCAGGTAGCAGCCAGAGGCGCAGGAACAGAAGCTCTTTCAGCTCAGCTTTATGGACTTAAGATTGACACAGGCCCACACCCTGCCGTGCACAGCAGCTTCACTGGCGGGGCCAGGGCCAGTGGGCAGATAAGGGAGGCAGCTCCCTGCATGGACCCTGGCGGTGACCACCGGAGCAGCCTCCCGTGTGCCAGGCCCTGTGGGGGCAGCCGGGGCTCTGAGAGGCGAAGCCCCATTCCTGAAGTCCCTGGCCACCCCACCTAGTGCCCCCGCGCTACACAGACTCGGAGTCTAGCCCCGGCTCTGCCTCCATCTCGGGTTCCGAGGGCCCAGTCCCTGGGCTCGGCACCGCCAGGGCTTCGAGGCCACCGGGCTCCTCGGCGCTGGTAGGCAGGGGCTCAGAGTCCACTTCGGCCTCAGCATCCTCCGTGTCGCTGGCCCCGCCCTTGGTGCCTGGGCTGGGCGTGGCGTCCTGAGAGCGGCGCAGGCAACACTTGGTGGCGACAGCCATGAAGACCCCGGCCAGGGCCACCTCAGAGCCTGCCAGGTAGAAGATGATCTCGTAGTTCTTCAGCGCGTCCACCAGGCGGCCTGCGGGGAGGGCAGATGGGGAGGTGAGGGTCTGCGGGGGGAGCCCACCCTTCACACCCACACCGTCAGATAAGGGCAGTGCTCTTGGTGGGGCTCACGGGTAACACACACACACACACGCCCCAGTCTTTGTTCCCATTTTACAGATGCAAAAATCCATGAGGGTTCTGCCATTTGAGATCTTAAAACTGTCACTTCACCTCCCTGGACCTCAATTTCTTAAGTGATATGGGGCCTTTGGTGAGGCAGCACTTCACAGTTTACAAGGGACCTCCTGTCCTCGGGATTCCAGCCCCACATGTACCCTGGGACTTGCCCAGCTGGGGATATTTGACCCGGGAGTGGGGAGAGCACTGGGCTTAGCCCTGCTCTCCTGGGGGCCCCCAACTCTTGTCCTTTCCACTTAACCTCCTTGGTCTTCAGGAGCCTGGCTCAGCTCTCCCCGCAACCCCCAGGCCTCCCCCCTCCCAGGAGGCCCCGTGTACCCAGGACTGAACTATCATTAGCATGGGGCCTGGGGACAGGGCTTGTAGAACTCTTGTTTCCTTCTGTGTATTTTCCAAGTTTTCTATCACAGGTACATGTTACTTACATACTTGGCAAAATCTTTTAATTGCAAATATTTCCCCTAAAGTGTGGTTCCTCAGTGGGCTCCCCCCTCTCTCGGAGGCATCCTTGTGGCTGTCCACACCAGGCTGTGACCTCTCAGTCTGTATCTCTGAGGCCTTGGGGAGGTTCCCTGGAGTCCTCCAAGCCAGCTGCCCACCTGAGCCCCTCTGAGCAGTACCCCAAACTTGCCTTCCTGACCCCTGCCCAGCCAGCCAGTCCCGCCCCTTCCACACACAGCCCTGTGGTGTCCCTCACCTTCTTCTCACCCCACGTGCCTTCTCTGCCTATTAGATCCACCCCAGGGTCACCCAAGAAAATGGAAGATGGGTCCCTGAGCCTCTGGCTGGTTTTATAGCTTTTGGTGGTTGGGTTTGGGGGCTGCTCACACAGGGGTTCAGGTTCAGTGCAATTCCCACTGCACTGAAGTGGAAATTCAAGGTCAGGTGAGGTGACAAAGCTTGATGACGGCACTCAGCTAGCCCAGCCCTGGAAGAATGGGCAGCTCACCTCATCTCGGGTGCAGCCTGGGCCCTAGCAAAGGCGGCCCCCATCATTGCTCCATCCTACAGCCTGACCTCAGCTCTCTCCTGCTCACAGGCAGGCTTCCTGCTGTTTCAGGGATAACCTAGCAAGACCCTAATGTCCCCCACCCCCACCTTTCTGATCCTAGCTCCTGCCTTACTTGTATAGGAACAGTGTCCCCCAAACACCCCCTGTGCCCTCTCCTGGGGGGGTCCTGCCCTGCCCCTTGAGACTGCCTTTATGCCAGCCCCTGCAGGAAGCCCTCCCCTCCCACCTTGTCATGAGGACTTCCTATGATGTGTAGAGCACCCAGCAGGCGGTGTGCACGGTGGAAGCCTCCCGTGCCCGCCTCTCTGTGAGCGTAATGAGCCCTCCCACTCTGCTCCTGGTTCCCCAAGGACTCTCCCTACTCCAGTCACCCTTAGAGGCTGGGGACACTAAAGCACTCAGATACAGTGTTTCAAAGGTATGGGCACTGAGCACTGGGCAGGGCCCCGCTCTGATTCTGGGACTGCAACCTGTACTGGGCCTCTGGTGGTACCGCCTGGAGGGGAGGGAGGCTAACTGGCCATGGTAAGGGGAGTCTACCCCACCGGGCTGTCTCTCCCCCCTCCCCACCCACCATGGGTCCCTTCCCCTCTCTCATCCCTGGACGTTCCATCTGGGATAGGGAGGGGGCTTCCCTTGGGCTTAGGGGCACTAGGCCGCGTCACCCTCTCCTCCTGTGGCGCGCACCGGCAGAGGGCGGTCCGATGAGCACAGCCACAGCCTCGAGGAGTAGCACCAGGCCCAGCGCACTGGGGAATCGGGCCGCACCCACAGCCGCCATGAGCACCTCGAACTGCAGGGCGCCCACCATGCCGTAGGAGAGGCCGAAGGCGACGCAGAAGGCGACAAGGGCGCCGTAGGTGCGCGCGCGCGCGCTGCTCAGGTCCGTGAGCCCGTTGGCCATCAGGGCCAGGCTGAAGAGGTAGGCGACATGCGGCCGCAGGCGCGCCAGGCCGGCCAGGGCGCCGCACGCCGGCCGCGCCACGATGTCTACGAAGCCCACGATGGAGAGCAGGAAGGCAGCCTCGGAGTCAGGCACGCCCGCGTCCTTGGCGTAGTTCACCAACAGGATGGCGGGCACGAAGAGCCCGAGCGCCATCAGGAACTTGGTGACGGCGTACACCGCGAAGGCGCGGTCGGTGCACACGGTCACGTCCAGCAGGCGCCGGCGGGTCCGGCCACCAGAGGGCGCCTCGCGCAAGCGCAGTCCCACACTGTCCGCCTCCACCTCCCCGGGAGCGTCGCCCGCGCTGTTCCTGCGCGGCCGCGGCCCGGGTGGCGGCCGCATGACGGCGCCGCACGCGCAGCAATGCAGCAGGAGGCCGCCGAGCAGCAGGAAGCCGCCGCGCCAGCCGAAGTGTTCGAGCAGCTGCTGGCCGAGCGGCGACAGCGCCGAGAGGAACACGGGGCTGCCGGCCGCCGCCAGCCCGTTGGCCAGAGGCCGCCGCCGCTCGAAATACAACCCCAGCATGATGAGCGACGGCTGGAAGTTGAGGGCCAGGCCCAGGCCTGTGGGCGAGGCGGTGCTGTGGCGGGCTCCCCGAGGGTGCCCCCACCCCAGGCCCCGGCGGGAGGGAGGGACGAGGTCCCGACAGGGTGTGCAGACCCCGGGGTGGGGGGTGGGAACGGGGCCGAAGGATGAGGACCGCCCCTCGTGGGGAAAGTGAGGACGGGAGGTCTTGCAGCAAGGGCTGCTGACCCCCACCTGCACCCCGACCCCCACGAGGAGGAGAGCAGTGGGCGCCCTCACCTGTGAGCACCCCAGCTGTCAGGTATAGCTCCAGGAGGCGCGTGGCAAAGGATGCTAGGACCATGCCGGCCGAGGCCAACAGTCCACCCACCAGCATCACCGGGCGACAGCCAAAGCGGGTCACGAGGATGCTGGACACCGGGCCTGTGGGCAGGGCAGGATCACCAATCAGGCTGGACCCCTCTGTGGCAGACACTCCAGGCTTTGTACCTCCCAGCCTTGAAAGACGGCTTGAAGGAATGAGGTCACCCCCGGTTCAGAGAGGGCAGTGTTGTGGCCAAGGTCACTAGCTTGGCTGGGACAGACCAAAGAGAGCCATATGGGGGGGATGCAGGGGAGGAGCCTCTATACTGGTCCCCAGCCCTCCTGAGAACACGGAACATAAAGCAGAAGGGGCGGACCCCATTCGCTTTATTACCTTCACAGCTGGAATCACAGCTTGAGCCGCCTTCCTCCCCAGGCTTCCCCCATCCCTCTCCTCCACCCCTCCACGCTGCCTGGCCAGGATATCTCCAGCATCTCCCCCACTCCACAGGTGGTTAGAGCTTTGGGACTGGGAATCTTAATTAGATCTTAGTTTTCCCACCTGTAACATAGGCGGGTGTGGGTCTTTTGACAGAAATGGAGGGGCCCTTCCAGCTGGCCAAGCTTGACAGGTCAGCCACCTGGGTGCGGGCTCCACCTCTGGCCGCTGCCACCCTCCTGACCCTCTGCTCCCCTCTCCGGTGCTAATGTTTCCACAGGAAGGAAGGGGTTTCCATGCCCACCCCGAGGGGCCTGGGGGAAGATGCTCAAGGGGTCGGGTGTGTCCTGGTCCCTGATCCCGATTCTCAATCCTGGGCCTGGGGGAGGGGGGAGGGATCCGCGAGGGGGCGCTGACCTGTCCCGTAGAGCATGGCGAGCATGATGGAGGATACCCAGGCCGTGTCGCTGTAGCCCGCGCCGAAGTCGCGCATAAGCGCGCGGAAGAAGACGCTCACGGCCTTGGGGAAGCCATAGGCGAAACCGGTGACCACGAAGCAGGCGCCCAGCACGGCCCAGCCCCAGCCGCCGTCTGGGGGGCCAGGGCCCCGACGAGGGCCTCTAGTGCCCATCGTCACCGCCTCTGCTGGAGGAGAGGGGACAAGAGGAAGCGGCGAGGGTCTGTAGCCCAGACAAGAAAGGGGGATGGAGACCCCGGTGTGGGGAAACTGAGGCACAGGGCTACCCACGGGAGCCCTGCTCGGGGAATGGAGCCAGGAGGGGAAACCGAGGTAGGACCTCACCCCGAATCTCCCCTCCTGCAAGGGGCGTGAAGGATGAGGGGTGGGTAATAGAGTCGTTCCCACCTGAGTCTTAACTTCAGGAAGACTCCCTCTGGAGGATACTCCTTGCCCCTCAGGACCTAGTAGTGTCAAGAGAGGGGGTTCGGATGAGTGGGAAAGCCGACAGCCAGTGTGTGACCGGAGGCATGTGTGGGCACCGGCAATGTCCCCAGGGTGTACATGTGAGGGTCTCAGGGCAACGGAACAAACAAGGTGTGGGGTGGAGGGGGAGACAAGTGCCAGTGGCAAAATGGGTGGAGTTCATTTTCCTCCTTGGCCTTGGGGTATGTACCTGATTTTTCTCAGTGATCAGGAATGTCTATTGTCATTTAGAAAATTATGAAAGGAAAACCAAAACATGTTGTAACAATGTTAGCCTTGTCCCAGAAGCCAAGGGAGCTGAGTTCCAATTCATCCCAGCTTAGCCATGGATTTGCTCCATGACTTGGGCAGCTCCCCTCCCCTTGCTGAGCCTCAGTTTTCCCACCTGTAAGGTGGGTGACTGAACACCCCAGACCAGCTGGGGATCTTGGTGTGGGGAGGGTCAGATCTCTGGCTCCACTGGACAGATGCAGACCTTTGAGGGGGCACTGGGAGAGAGACCCTCTGCCCTCCAAACCCTTAGCAGCCCCCAACACCTCCACATTTCCAGAGCTCCACCCAGGGGTTCACACAGCACCCCTATTGCCCCCATAACAGACCAGGAGGGGGGCCTCACAGGCAGGATAGACCAGCCCACAGCTGGAGCCTCCCTCCCTCCTGCAACCCCTCTGCGCTGGGGTCTCCCGCCTGGCCTTGGGCAATGCCAAGGGCCCCGTGGGACTCTGCCCCTGCCCCACCAGGACCAAGTTCTGGCTTGGTCACCACAGCTGCAGCCACCTGAGGACCAGGACAAGAGGTGGTCCCTGACAGCCGTCGCTGCACACTTACCTGAGCTGTCCCGTGGGTTTGGGTGTCCAGCCTCGCATCTCCTGAGGCCTGCAGGGACGGGCCGCCCCACTGGCTCCCCTGTGAAAGCCTAGCCCGATGGGGGCTGCAGCTGAAGACTCCCAGGCTTCCCGCAGATCAGCCACTCAACAGCTCGCTCCCCCAAGCCTGGGGCTTAGTGTTCCCCAACCCCATCCCCTCTAAGAGGCTTTCCACTGGGAGGGGAGAAGGGCCAGGCAGCCACCGCAGCACAGGGCCAGGCTGGGCCGCGTGGTGGGGCTCCCCGTCCCAGGCCCATCCAGGGAGAGCTAGAGATAGGGGGGCCCCTTCACCGCCTGGAGCTTCGGGCAGAGGACACAGAGAGCCCTGCCCTGGGGGGTCCGAGTGGTACAAAGGGCACAGCCCTGCCCTGGAGAGACCCCACCAGCCCTAATCACCTCAATTCCTCGCCCGCCCTCTGCCCCCAGGCCACATTCCAGGAGGGGCCTCCATGGCTTTCCCCTGGATAAGGCTAATCCAAGCCAGAGCCTGGGACTGAGGGGGGTGGGGATGGGCCGGAACAAAGGGTGCTGTGTCCCAGGGCACCGGAGGGTGACTTGCTGATGGTCCCAGGCCTCAGCCACTGCCATCCGTCCGGCTCTAGGGAACCCACAGCAGAAATGAGCCTGGGCCAGAGATGGGGGGATACAGCTTGCAGGAGTTAGGCCAGACCTAAAGACTTAACTTAAAATGAGGGATGTGAGGGGCTGGGAGTGAGTGAGGCCTCCCAGGGAAATGCCAGTGACATTTAGAACCTTCTGGACTCCCTTCTCCAGTGGGAGGTCTCCATCCCCACCCTGTCCCACCCTGTACCCCAAGTCAGACTCCACCAGTCCCGCTGCCGTGTCTCACTTGCTTTATTTCTCACCGTTTACAAAAGTTAAACAGGGGAGGTGTGTGGAGCAGGGGAGGGGGTGTGCAAGGGGCTCCTCCCCAGTGGGACAGAGAAGGGGGAAAGAGGTTGGGGGGCATGAGGCAGGCCCCCAGGGAGAGTCCGGGGCCCCTGGAGGGGAAGAAATGGTTCTGTCTCCCACTTCCGGCTGCTTTATTTTGAAGTCCCCAGACCCCAGGCCGGTGCCTTTGGAACTGCTCAGGCTGGGGCGTGGTCTGGGGAAGGGCAGCTGCCCCCGGTACCAGGGCCCCGGCTCCTTGGATCCACTGCTGCTGCTTCTGCTGCTGCCAGCTCTGGGCAGCCCCCAGGCAGGTGTCGGGGGGACGACCTCAGACCCCTGGTGGAGGAAGGCACCTCAGTGGATGAGGGGCGCTGAGCGGTCATTGGTGACAGTGGGACGCAGCTTTACGGTGGCAAAGGGGTTTGTGCCCCTGTTGGGGGAGAGGAGGGGGTGAGAGGGGCCCAGGTCCCCAGCTGGCTGTGGATCCAGGGAAGGCAGCTGGGCATCTGAGCCAGGTGTCCCCGCTACCTCCTGTCCCCGTCGGTTCACCTCCACTCACGCCCACATTTGTCTCCCCTCCACAGCCCTCTGCTGAGCCCGGCCCCCTCTGACCCTCACTCAAGGACTCACCGAGGGAAGAGCTCTGGGGGTTGCTGCTCCCAGGACATGAGTTTCTGCAGTGAGCGGGGAGGGAGGGCCAGGTTTGGGGGGGAAGGAGCAAAAGAGCCCCTGCCCCACCCCCCACTCCCCAATCCAGCAGGGCAGAGGACTGGACCAGACGCCCCTGCAGCGCCAGGCTTCTGGGAAATGAGGTCCAGCCTTCCGAAACCCAAAATGCTGTGAGTTTCAGACTTGAGGAGCCTCTGGGCCAAAGTGCCATCTCCCAGGGCTAACACCGCCCCCAGGGGAGGCCTTTTCCAGTGCTCCCAGCAGGAGCCCAGGGCTCCCATCCACTAGAGGAATGCATTCCCCCCACCCTCCACCCCAGACTCAGAAGCCCATCCCACCCCTCCCGGCACAGATGGGCAGACTGAGGCTGGAGAGAGCCAATGGCAGGGCAGGGAGGGTTACCTGGTCTCCAGTCTTCCGGCCCACCGGCCCACCCCAGGGTTGAGGGCAGACTGGGGGAGGGGGCTCACCTTGATGTCACTGGCCACCCCCATGCTGCCCATGCTACTTCGGCGGCTGCCAGGCAAGGGTGTAGATGCGGGGCTGGGGGTGCGGCTCGGGACCCGGCTCGGGGTTCGGGAGCGGGACTGGCCATCCCAGTAGTCTGAGGATGCTGTGGAGTTGCCTGGCCGGTCCAGGAGGTCATCAAGGCTGTGGCTGCCCCGGAGTGGGTAGGACCTGATCCCAGAGAAAGGAGGGACGGGAAGGGGGTCAGGGGTCAGGCCCTGCTGCAACCCCACCCCCACCCCATCGGCTGGGCTCCTGAGCATCCTACATCCTCCTCCCTTGCCCCTGGGTGAAAGGAGACTTGGCTTGAAGGCAGTCCTGAGAGGAGGCAGAGGGATGGACACATGACCTTCACACGTAGAGAGATGGGGGTACCCTTTCTCCAGGAGCTGAAGGAGGTTGGGCTAACTCCGGACTGCAGCTCAGAGATGCCCTTCCTGGTGGCTGGGGCCACCCCCCACTGGAGTCCCCGCCCCTGCCCCATCTCTGACCACAGCGGTACCTGGAAGGCAGCTCATTCATAGGGCTCATGGGGTTCATGGACGTCACTGGGTTCAAGGGGTTCGTGGGATTCATGGAGGTCACGGGGTTCAAGGCATTCATGGGATTCATGGGCAGCTCCTCCAGAGGCTTCACATAGGCCTCGGGGAACCAGCCGCTCCTGTGGGGTGGAAGCAAAAAGCCCGACAATGGTGGTCAAAATTTACTGGGCACTGCTGTGTGCCAGGCCTGGCTCTAAGAGTAACTCATTTCATCCTCTGAAGGAGGTCTGTCCTGACATTCAAGGTCACTCATCCAGCCTCATGTCCCACCAGGGGCTGGGGCGCCTTAGAGAGGAGGAACTGGAGATCCGAGAAGGAAAGCATTGTATCCAAGGACATGTGGTGACAGCTTCATTCCCTACTTGCTGAGTACCCACCACACGAGGGCCCACGGAGAGCCAGATGCAGTCCCTGTTCCCCAGGGGCTCCCAGCCAGCCCGGGGGGGGGGGGGGGGGGGGGGCAGACAGACCCACAGATGGATGATTACAAGGGTGAGGCAAAGGGGACCGGGTGGGGGGACCAAAGGCAGCTGTAGGAGCCCAGAGCATGGGGAACCAGAGCCGGGGGTGCCTGGCTACCAACCCTTCACCATAGGCCCTCTGGTCCCGGTGACCCCAGCCACCCTGCTCTTGGAGTCTTTGTCTGGCTGGAGGCTCATTACTGCATCTTCAGAGCAGCCAGGGTTGAGGGAGAGGCACTATGATCCATGTTCCTTAGCCTTTTCAGACTCCACGGAACCCATTAGACTCTTGCAGAACATCTGGGAAAGTGTTCTCCAAACAGCCACCTTAGATCCCCAAACCCGATCAATAACATTCTCACCTATAGGTAACTGGAAGCTATTTCAAGTCAAACTGACAGAGTAAAACCATTTCAGAATGTTTTACTTCTATCTTCACCATAAAGTGCCTACTGATGAAACTTGCCATTGTTTTCCCTAACCTGAGTCACAGAAAGAATAACGATGTCCCAGGAACGCGGTTTGAGAGCTCAGATCTGGGTGGTTTTATAATCAGGTCCCCAGGAGGTTTGCTACACACCTGTTTCGGGGACTTTCAGGGAGGCACCCTGCTGCCCTCTGATGCGGGTCTCCAAAGCAAGTGTTTTTTCCACTACTCGTGTTCTTAGTCGCGTCTCTACCCACCGGCTCCTCTTTCCATTCCTGATCCATGCGGTCACCTGCCATCCGCCCATCTATCTACACGTCATCCCATCCATGCATCACCCATCCATGATCCATGTGGGCAACCACCCAAGGACCACCAATCCACTAACCCATCCATCAGCACTTGCCCACCTGCCCGCCTCTCTATCAACCCACTCACACACCTCTCCAGTCACCCATTAATCGATACATGCACCCCACATCCGTGCATCCTCCCATGCCCCCTTCCATCTACCCATCTGCTCACAGGAGCATGCATCCACCTGCTCACCCCATTACGCCCTCATCCATCCTCCACCTGTCCATCTACTAATCACATGACCATCTCGGCAAGCGCCCTCACATGCATTTGCTGACTCCCCTGTCAACGCTCCATTCATTCATCCCCTCTTCTTGTCCTCATTCATTCCTCTCTCCTTAGCGTGAGTGGGCGTGGGCACCACACAGTCTCTTGCCCATAAAGCCCTGTGGGGGGCATTGCCCGGCTCCAGCAAGCTCCCACCTTCCCCTTTTTCTTTGGCAGAAAGAGTGATCCCTGCTTTCCTCCAGGCTTACCGCGACTGCAGTGTACTCCCTAGCCTCCCCCTTCTACTCATGGTGTCAAAAGCAGCCCGTTTATGTTCTTTAAGGATTTCCACTGCGCCTGACTGCAAGGAGGTGAGCACACTCAGCTTGCAAGGTCCCAGCACCGCCCCTGCGCCTGGCCCCCCTCTCTGTCCATTCCCTCCGTCAGAGCTTGGCGGACTCCCTCAGGGTAGAAGGCAAGCTGCCCCCTCTCTTAGTGTAAAGCGCAAAGTAGGTGCTCAAGCAATAGGGTTTCTGTATTGTTCCCACTTGTGAGAGAACCTTCCCATTCCCCATCCTCTACCACCCTCTCAAGGGCCACCACCCTGAACTTGATAAAGAGACTCTTCCTACCCTCGTTGAATGGATGAGGAAACTGGTGTGGGACGAGGAGGGGATGGGGGATGGGGGATGGGTTGTTCGAAGGCCCAGGGACAGCCTCCATCCTGGAAGACTCAGTTGCAGCTGAAGTCCAGGCTTTCCGGTCCTCCTTCCAACCCACCCTGCGCCCCGAGGCTCCTACTCACGTGGATGAGCCCTCCAGCTTGCCATAGAGCCAGCCATTCTGGGCCTCCGGTACCAGCACCTCCACAACGTCTCCGGCCGAGAAACGCAGCAGCGTGTGGTTGGCGCCCTCCGAATGGGAGACCAGGGCGCGGACTCGCCGGGCGCCGCCGCCGCCCCTGCAGCCCGGGCGCTCGCCGAAAGAGTTGGAGCGCGAGCGCTCAGTGCTGATGCTGTAGAGCGAGGCTGCCGAGGGGCAGGAGAGCGCCGCGGCACGTGGGTGGGAAGTTCTCCCTGGCGTCTACCCTCGATCCCTCCTGCTGCAGCGCAATCTCGGTTCCTCTTCCCGGCCCCGGGTCCCCAACCTGGGTACCTGGCCCTCCCTCTGCGCTTCGGGCGCCGGGGGTACTCACAGGCGGACGGCGTCCGGGGCAGGGACCGGCGGTCTGGCTCCAGCTGGGACGCGTATCTCGCCTCAGTGGGCTCGGGGCCGTGGGAGCCGGAGCCGTGCCGGCTGCGTGGGGAGCCGAACTCTCCCAGAGGCCTCTGGGGCTGCGAGGGGAGACGGGCAGGGGAGGGTGGGGCGGGGAGGGGCGGGGCCGCGGCGCCCTAGTCCAGCCCCCACCCCCAGTCCCAGGTGTCGGCGGCGTAGGGGTTCTCTGGCCTGCGGCCGAGCAACCACGGGGGCGCCGAGGTCGCGCCGGGGCGGAAGGGCCGGCCGAGGGGCGCTTCGAAGGACGGGACCCTCGGGGGGAGGAGGCTCCAGGCGGAGGGCCTCAGGCCCCAGGGCCCCGCGGAGGGTGCCGGGGGCGGCGGGGGCGCGAACGGCGGCGGGGGCGCGAACGGCGGCGGCGGGGGCGCCCAGGGCCTCACCATGTCCAGGCGGGTGGGCGTCAGGCGGCCCGAGGGGTAGGGCGGCCCCAGCAAGGGGCCCAGCAGGCCCGGGGAGTGGGCGCGCGACGGACTGCGGCTGGCCTCTGACTGCTCCTTCCACAGCAGCACGCGGTTCTGGAGCATCCCCCGGGCCTGGCCGGGTGGGGACACGGGGGTCAGCGAGATCCAAGCAGACCCCAGAATCCCGGGGACTCAAAACTGGCATCCTAGACCCGGGAACTCGGGCCCTGCAAGCTGAGGATGACCGGACTTTCCAGCTGGAAGGAACCAAAGATCGCTGTGGTCACTTTGGGTTCACCCACTGGCCAGCCCTCCCGGTCTTTTGTCAAAGGCCCCTCACTTTTCCTGGAGGAGTTTCCCCTGACCCGTCTCTCAGTCTTGTGCTTTGACGGGGGCTCTCCCACTGTCTGATGCAGGGGTAAGGGCGCAGTCCAGGCTTGGCTACAGAGATGGAGTCAGGTATGTGCACCTACCCAAAAACTGTTACCAAAGAACCCAGTCCCAGAACTTACCCTGGAACCATCTGGAAAAATATATTCTCTCACCTCACGGGGTTTGCTAAATGGATAGAGCGAAGCCGGCATAGGCACTTCAACTAAGCAACAGACAGTGGCAAATTTCTGATGACATCTTGTGTGCTCCTGGATCCAACTGTACCTGAAACCCTTGAACTTCCCAGTGACTAAAATAATAAACACCTTTTCTGTTTAAGCCAGTTTGAGTAGTTTTCTAAAAGAAGACATCCAAATAGTTTTTCCAGTCTATCCGTTTAGTTTACGTAAGCATCCCTTTTCTAGTATCCCCAATACACGGGCATCTAACTCTGCCTGAATACCTTCAAGGACAGGAAACTCAGCCGCTGACCACATAGTCCATAACAACTTAGGGTGGGAAGGTTTTAAACGTTAGACCTGCTGTGTGTATTAATCATGTTTTTAATTTTCTGTACTTTATGATGCTTTGACATCGTGGGGCCTTGTCAATCTGAAAAGACTGCACCTCACAGGGCCAGATAATTCCTAGAGATAGTAAACAGTTTGCTTGGAGCACACCTTTCATATGCAAACCAACCAGCCCAAAACCCATATCCCCAATCACCTCCTTCTAATTCACACACCAAACCAAAGTTTCCCCTGCCCTAAATCACCCAAGCCAGGTACCAGACAATTAGAATAACCCCTATAGCCCAGAGCCCACTGAAATTATTCAAACCGTCCAATCCTAAACTTACTTAAACTTGCTTACCCTTCTTTGCCCATCCCTTCCCATGGAAACCATAACAAAGGTTCTGGGCCATGCTTTCCCCTGGCTCCTTTTGCCTCTTGACCAACCCCCAGTACTACTCCCACGTGGCCCTGCGTAGTGTGTCATGACCCTTTCTCTTGGGAAGTGTGATATGTAATAAAACTTCTTTCAGTGGCATTGACCTCTCTGTGTTGTCGCTCAGGTCATCCTAGGTCCAATCAAAACACTCTGCTCTCCAGTCATCAGTGTCTCTCCATTTTCTACTCCAATACTCGCTCCCTCAAGGCCAAGGTCAGGACTGTCACTTTAGGAATAATAAAAGCTTCCCTTTGCTGAGCATTTACTCTGTGCCAGGCCCAGTGTTAAAGACTTGACCTCCATTATCCTATTCGATTCTCCCAGCAGCCCTGCGAGGTAGGTGCCATTATTATCTCCATTTCATAGAAGAAGATGCTGAGGGTCAGAGCAGTTAATGACTGGCTCGAGGTCTCTCATCCAGTAAGCAATGGAGTGGCCTGTACTCGTCTGTCTTGAGGAAGCTTCCTGTGACTACATTTCCATGATTTTTCCCTTCAGTCTGGCCCAGCTGCTGAAAATTTGATCTCAGGCAGCAAAACAGAAAGCCTCAGTGCCTCAAGTCGCAGGAGCAACTAGTTCAGTTGGTGGCTAGGTGGCCGCCCCCTCTGTTGCCTTGCATAGTTAATTAGCAAAACAGCACAAAGACAAAACTCCAAAGGCCTTTGTGCGCTTGTTTCAGAGGCAGTAAGCAAAGTGAGACCATTAAGTTTTGCTTATCGTATTTAAAAAAGGGTTTTTGTCCAATTTGAAAGTGCCTGCCAGGGTGCTAGGGGGTTCTCGGAGTAATGGCCTCAGCACTGAGTCTTGGCCTGGATGGCACTCAACTTCACTGGCTCCCCTCAGCCCTGCCTTTAGGCAGTTTAGCCAGTGGTTGGGAAGAAACATAGAGGAGACCAGGGGAGAATGTTAAAAATATTTACAGAGTGGAAAAGCCATTCTGGGACTTCCCTGGTGGCTCAGTGGTTAAAAACCTGCCTACTAATGCAGGGGACACAGGTTTGATCCCTGGTCTGGGTAGATCCCACGTGCCGTGGAGCAACTAAGCCTGTGCACCACAACTACTGAGCCTGCGCTCTAGAGCCCGTGAGCCACAACTACTGAGCCTGCGTGCCGCAACTACTGAAGCCTGTGCGCCTAGAGCCCGTGCTCTGCAACAAGAGAAGCCACCGCAATAAGAAGCCCGCGCACCGCAACGAAGAGTAGCCCCTGCTCGGCGCAACTAGAGAAAGCCTGCATGCAGCAATGAAGACCCAACTCAGTCAAAAAATTTAAAAATTAAATTAATCATGTAAGAAAAATATTAAAAAAAAGAAAAGCCATTCTAAGTATGATACAAACCCCCTAAACTATAAAAGACTGATAAATTTGACTAAATAAAAATAATTTTTTTACCACGGCAAAACTCACAATAAGCAAAATCAAATGATAAAGAACAAACTGGGAAAATAATTTGCAACTCATCACTATGAAAGGCTAATTTCAGTAACATATAAAGAGCTCCTACAAATTCATAAGAAAAATGGAGGAAAAGATACTGACCTGTCACAGTAAAGAAAATCAAATGGCTCTGAAACATGAAAAGATGTCAATCTCACTTCTAAGACAAGCGTAACAAGTGTAAAACTACACTGAGATACCATTTTTATCTTTTTGATTACCAAAAATCAAAAAGTTTGCCTGCATTCTGTTGTCAAGGAAACAGGGTATCTCTGCCATTGCTGGTGGAAGTGTATGTAAACTGGTACAGCCAATGCTTATATCCCTGGACTCACCAATCCCATTTCTAGGCATTTATCCTAGAGGTATCCTTACACAACGGCGATAAACCCAGAGAAGCTGACGGTGAGGTAGAAAGGCGTGTTATTGACTAGACTTGGACTAAGCCAGGACCGATGGTTGGAGGCAGATGAGAAAGACACCTTACTGTGCTCAGGCACTTAAGAGTTCTTTAAATCTTGTGCATTCTGCGTACAGATATACTTAACAGGTAAATATTTATGCTTCACTGTCTTAGGAGTTAGATCGTGTATGTCCTAAAGCCCAGCTGGGTCAGACAACATGCTACCTATTCCCCTGTACCTAGGGGAAGTCTGGTTCATTCAATCCACAGCTCCCTCCTGAGGGGGCGATCACTCAGCAGGAGGCAGCCAACGGAGGGGTCAGCTCTCCTCTTAACGTTGGAGGCTAACTGTTCAAGACACAGGCGGGAAGGAGTTTCCTTCCAAAGAAGATGTACACGTGGCCAGTGAGTACAGGAAAAGATACTCAGCATCACCAGCCACCAGGGAAATGCAAATCAAACCCGGAATGAGATACACTCCACACTCACCAGGACGGCTAGAATCAAAAAGACAGACAGCCACAAGTATTGGCAAGGATGTGGAGAAATTGGAAACCTCATAAACTGGTAGTGGGAATGTAAAATGGTGAAGGAGTGTGGAAGTTCCTCAAACAGTTAAACATAGAGTTACCATACAATCCAGCAATTCCACTCCTATATACCCATGAGAAATGAAAACACACGTCCACGGAAATACTTTGACGTGGATATCCATAGCAGCACCATTCAAAATAGCCAAACGGTAGAAACAAGCCAGGTGTCCATCAATTGATGAATGGGTAAGTAAATGTGGCACACATCCCGATGATGGAATCCTATTTGGCGATAAAAAGGAATGGTGTACGGATACATGCTCCAACACTGATGAACTTGAAAAACGTGACGTTCAGTGAAAGAAACCAGTCACAAAGGACCACATATTGTATGATTCCCTTCATATGAAATTACCAGAAGAGGCAAATCTATAGAGACAGAAAGTAGATTAGTGATGGCGTAGAGCAAGGGGGAACGGGAGGATCAAGGAATGACCGCGGAGTACTGATTTTTTTTTTTTTTTAGCAGTAATGAAATGTTCTAAAGTTGACTTGAGGCAATGGATGTACAACTCTGTGAATATACTACACCACTTTAAAAAAAATATTTATTTATTTTGGCTGTGCCGGGTCTTACCTGCAGCATGTGGGATCTTTTAGTTGCAGCATGTGGGATCTTTTAGCTGCAGCATGTGGGATCTAGTTCCCTGACCAGGAATTGAACACGGGCCCCCTGCATTGGGAGAATGGAGTCTTACCCACCGGACCACCATGGAAGTTCCTATACTACACCGTTGAATTGCACACTTTAAATGGGTGAATTTCATGGTGTGTGAATTATATCTCAATATAACTGTTTAAAGGAAGAAGCAGCAGCTCCTCCCTGAAGGATCACTCAGTGGGGGTGGGGTAGGGTGGGAGAAGGCCGAGCCCTGAGCCCGGGGCTGGGTGCGGTGGTGAGAGTGGGAGAATGTCAGCCGGGGCTGGGATCAGTCACTGGATCCAGCCATGTCTCCCACCTCTGCTCAGCACCAGAGGGTCCCTGGGATCAGAAACAGAGACTCAGGGAGGACCTGGCAAGGTAAGCACCCCGAGGTGGGGAGGCGGGAGTCGGCTGTTGGGGGCAGCTGACGGCAAGCACTCGGGTCTCCTGAATGGGAGCCTTTGTTTTCATCTTTGGAGGGGAGAGAGCAGGGGCAGGAGGACCTAATCCCGCTGGGCTCCTGCATAGGCCAGGCTCCACCATCCGCACCAACCTTCTTCAGGGGTGATTATTTCCCTCCTTTTCCAGATAAGGAAATGAGACTCAGAAATGAAATCACTTGCCAGAATTTGCAGCCAGGGCACAGTATTTGGGAAACTGAACAAGAATACAAAGAAATGGATATAGAAACTAAACAAGACTACAAAGAAATAGAAAGTAATGGAAAGAGCAATGAGGCTGGGGGAGGGGCAGCGGAGCCCATGTTTGTGGCATCAGGAAAGAGAGGCTGGCTGGCTGGGTGGATCTCTCTCAGATACCAAATAGAACCAGAGCCTGATATGTCATCTGGGCTCAAAGACTATGTGTTCAATAAATGAATGAATGAACAAATGACATTGGAAAAATGCAAGGATTTTTAGGGAATGATGGAAGGATGGTTTCCCAACAGCCCTGGCCCCTCCCCTCCTGCAGATTCCGTCATCCCCCTCCCCAGAGGGGTCAACAGCTGGGCCAGGCCAGGGAGGTGGGCAAGTCCACATGCAAGAAGGGTGATTGGGAGGCTTTGGCCCCTGTTGGACTTTCACAGAAGGCAGGACAGAACTTTGACCACCAGTGGGCTCGGGGCCTGAGGATCTGCAAGTGAGAGGCCAGGCAACAGGGCTCAGGGGCCCGAGCAGTGCAGTCACAGAGACACTTGGGTAGGGCAACATCAAGTGTCCCTCCTGAGTGTGTGCTGAGAGAGGCTGCTGGCTTTCCTGAGTTCCAGCCATCCATAGGCTTGGGCAGCTGCTAGCCCCTAAGGTCCTTCTTTGTAATTTAGAAACAGATGTTCTGTCTGGATGGACACAGCCTGGTGGCTACACATTTGGTGAGAGAATGGCCTCTTTTTTTTTTAAATTTTCTTGATAGTTTTTTTTTTTTTTTTTTTTTTTTTTGTGGTACGCGGGCCTCTCACTGTTGTGGCCTCTCCCGTTGCAGAGCACAGGCTCTGGACGCACAGGCTCAGAGGCCATGGCTCACGGGCCCAGCCGCTCCGCGGCATGTGGGATCTTCCCGGACCGGGGCACGAACCCGTGTACCCTGCATCGGCAGGCGGACTCTCAACCACTGCGCCACCAGGGAAGCCCTTCCTGATAAATTTTTAAAAATTGAAGTATAGTTAATTTACAATGTTGTGTTAGCAAAGTGATTCACACATACACACACACACACATACATTCTTTTTCAGATTCTTTTCCGTTATAGGTTATTACAAGATATTGAGTATAGTTCCCTGTGCTCTACAGTAGGTCCTTGTTGTTTACCTTTTTTATATATAGCAGTGTGCATATGTTAATCCCAAACTCCTAATCTAACTCTCCCCCCACCCTCTGCTATCGCCTTTGGTAACTATAAGTTTGTTTCTATGTCTGTGAGTTTATTTCTGTTTTGTAAATAAGTTCATTTGTATCATTTTTTAGATTCCACATATATGATATGACATATATCATATATCATATGATATATATATGTGGAATCAAAAAATGATACAAACGAACATATGATATTTGTCTTTGACTTATTTCACTTAATATAATAATCTCTAGGTCCATCCATGTTGCTGCAAATGGCATTATTTCATTTTTTATGGCTGAGTAATATTCCATTGTGTGTGTGTGTGTGTGTGTGTGTGTGTGTGTGTGTGTGTGTATATATCACATCTTCTTTAGAGGATGGCAAAGGTAATGATGCTCCTTTCTTCAGGCAAACACGGTCTGCACCAGTATGTTCAGCTTGGAGAGCAGAGCATAGCTCTACTCTCAGCCAGGCTTCCTTGTGCAGTACACAACCTGTACAACCTTCCCTAGAAGCCCTGTCTGCTGTGGTTCTCCACATGAGAGGCTGAGTGACAGCTGATGCTTGCAAAAGGAAGACCTGGGGCAGAGTGGGGTCCCACTGGGTAGAGATTGCTCCATTCTCCTGCCCCCCCCACATTTGCCAGCACCACTGCCTGAGCCCTCGCAGTTCAACTCAACCCAGAGTGGGAACAGGACCATGAGGAGGCAAAGGAGAGAAACAAGGCACCTAGTGGAGGACCCAGTGGTCAGCGAGGAGAACACAGCAAACCACCCTGGCAGCTGAGAGGAGGGAGTGACAAGCTTAACAAGGACTTGATAAGGGTACTTACTGCAAAACAAAGACCTTCTTACCCAGACAAAGCATGATGTTAAGATTTAAAATTGAACAGATGAACAGTCCGGGGTGGGATAGGGAGGGTGGGAGGGAGACGCAAGAGGGAGGAGATATGGGGATATATGTATATATATAGCAGATTCACTTTGTTATACAGCAGAACCTAACACACCATTGTAAAGCAATTATACTCCAATTAAGATGTTAAAAAAAAAAGAGAGAGAGAGAGGACAGTCCTGTTGAGAACAGAATCAGTCGCTTGCAGATCAAGGAGGAGAAATATCTCAAAATACTGAGCAAGAAGAAATGAAATAGACATAGTGGGGGAGAAGATGGTCATAGATGTGGAGGCTCAAATGATTGGAGTTCCAGCAAGAGAAAAGGTAATGATGGCAGAGAGATAATAATTAAAGAAACAGAAGAGGAAATAGCTCCCCAGACCTGAAGAAAGACTTGAGCCTGCAGGCTGAAGGGCCACCGACAGGCGCTCATCTAGGTGGTACCGGGACAAGTCCCTGAGTCGCAAGGACACAAAGAAAATCTCGAAGCATCCATAGAGAAAGAGCCTGTTACTTAAAAGGGAAAGCAGACAGACCAGCACTTGCCTTAGCATCTACAACACCGAGCACTAGAAAACAGGGGCAAATCATCTTGGACCATGAGGAGAAAAAGGCTGCAGCTCCTTCAACCAGCCAATATGCCCTCACCCGCAGGGTAAAAGTGAGACATTTGCAGAGATGCAAGGATTCCGACAGTGTATATGCAGAAAATACTCCTGCAAGTTCTCCAGCCATGCCAATTAATCAAAACAGAAACCTCAAGACAGTGGAAGGTGAAAAGGATTGAAAACAGTGGTAAGCATTGTATCTGATCCTATGTGTGGTGAAATGTTAGTGGACTATGGTGGTGCAGTGGCCGTGGTAATACATGTATCTAAGTACGGATTCTTGAAATAGAAGGGCCATGGTGCAAAGAAGTAACTAGTGAGGGTCTGGAACTAAAAGTCCTGAAGTTTCTTGGCAAAACCAAGAGGTGGTGGTTTGGAAGGATGAGAAGAGGAGTACAGACTTTACAAGCCTCATCTTAGAGCATCAGGGAGGGCAGGAAAATCCTTCTCAAGGTCTCCCCTTATGGGGTGAGGGAAGCAAAGGACCAAGTAGTGTGTGTGTGGGGGGGTGGGCATTATTTTTTGAAAAACATAATAGACAAATATATATGATTATGAGGGTCACAGAGTGAGGTCATGATGAGCAGAGATGAAAAGAACAACAGGCTTTCCAAAATAATAAACGGGAGAAGGATGTGGAATTAAATAAATTAAATGACTCTCAGCTAAAATTGGGGTAGGGGCAGGCCTGTAGGGGGAGCTCACATACCCTGCTACGTAGCCTCAATTATTTCAAGAAGGAGGAGAAGCAAGCCAACATCTCCCACAGGAAGTTGGTGCCTACTTTGTTATCTAGCAGCAGCAGAAAACTTCTCCCCCAACCCCCACCCCTGTGACAGCCCAGCCAATCAGACTGTAGCAGCCCAACCAATGAGAAACCTCCATACTTTGGACTCCCAGCTTCCTCCAATGGACTCTTTGGTTATTACAGCCCCTCCCAACTCCTCTCTTTTCCCCATAAAGCAAGCTGTCAGTCCCTGTTCTCTGGATTTGCGCGTGGTCTGCCATACTTCACGGAACTTGAGTTGCAGTTCCTCTGACTGTTCCTGAATAAGCTTGCTTTTGCTGGTAAAATAACTGGCTATTATATTGTTAAAATTGACAGAGGAATGTATATTTTATCAAACTGACGAGAACAAGAATGGGAGAAAAAGAGGAAACGACAAAGTAAATACACTTAACTCAAGTTATCCAGAAAGAATAGGGCAGGTATATCAGTTGTTCGGTTAAACGGGAATGAACTGAATTCTCCTAGTGGAAGACATAGGCTGTCAGACTGGTCAAAAGTCAAAACTGAGCTATATCTTTGTAACATAAAACACTTAAAGATAAGAAAAGAGAAAGTAGGAAGGGCAATATTAATGTCAAAGTGGAATTAAAAGTATCAGACTGGATTATGAGATATATACATAAATGGCAATATTTACAGAGAAGGTATAATAGTCAAGTCATAAACCCCACAGCACTAAACAACATGGCAGCTAAATGCAGAAAGCAAAATCCACTAGAAATACAATAGTCTAGCAGATCAGACAAAGCAAGACCATAGAAGATTTAAATACCATGAGAAAATTCATAGACAGTAATTGAATAAACCTATGAGTTAATGATTTTGTGAATAGTGAGTGTATGTAAACAGGAATGAAAAAAATAAATGGTCCATACATGAATGAATAAATGCAGGAATTAGTGAATGTGAGAATTTTAAAAAATCATGACAATAAATGAATGAATATGTGATGATACGAATAAAGAAATAGATGGAGAGAGTAAATAAGTAAAATAAATATCTCCAGGGTGGAAGGAAAGAAGGGAATGGGGAGGAAGGGAGGGGAATTCCCACGCACAGCCAGCTCACAGAGAGCACAGCCCCCAGAAGGCTTCATTTAGCTGTCCCCCAGCCCCAGCTCACCCGGCCAAAAAACTGCAGGAAGGTGTTGGAAAGCAGAAGGTGCTTCTCAGCCAGGAAGCGGTAGCGCCGCTTCTCTTCCAGCTCAGCTGCCCGCTGACTCTCAGACACGAAGGCCTGCATCTGTGCATGCAGCCGGTTCACGCTCTCCTGGGGGAAAAGGGGATTCTGGCTGGAGGCAGGGGGTGTGTCCCTCATCCCACTCCCACGAGTGCCAGCTGTCTGAAGCCTCTCTCTCCTTCCTGAACCAGCCACCTCCTCTCGGAAGCCTCCCCTGAGCACCCAGCCTGCCCTCGCTTCTGGGCCTGCCCTCTCATGTGTATCCTCATCCTCACGAGCCTGGGTTCTGCCTGCCCTCTGGCCCGGGCACTTCTCCCAGGTAGGACTGGTGTCTGAGCCATCCTTCTGGCACAGGGCCAAGCACAGAAGTGAGAGAGTTGGTTTAATGAAAATGCAAATTAATTGATTAATAACCCCCTACTTGGGAGCGAAGATTTCAAAGAGGAGGGATATGAGCTTATTAAAGGAGCCAGAAGAGGAGGCAGGAAAGGAGATAGAGGTCTTGGAGGCAGAGGCCAAGGATGGGGCCCTGAGCTCGGGAGGAGGGGCTGGCCTTAGCCAGGGGGCAGGAGGGAGGGGAGGGTGGCGGGGCTGCTGGTGGATTCTGCCTTTGCTACCTTGATCAGGAGCAGCGTGCTGAGGGCCTCAGGTTTTCTCAATGAAGTAGGAGAAGCAAGGAGGCCAAGGGAGTGTGGGGAGGGCCAGGCAGTGACAGGACAAGGAGCGGCGCTGAGGGTGTCCCTGAGACAGTGATGCCCACCCGCCAGGGGCTGGCTGACCTCTCCAGCTATGCTTGCCACACAGGGTGGGGCAGGACACGCTCCTGGAGTTGGGCCGGTGCTGGGTGGGAGAGCTCCAGCAGGTGTTGGGGGTCCCCTCGGAGCCCCGTGTCACCCCCAGCCCCTGCACCTTCATCTCTCGTGCATTCTTGTCCCTCTTGCGCTCCATACGCCACAGCTGGGACATGCACTTCTCCAGGTTGGCGGCTCGGTGGCGGTACTCCATCTCGTAGTGCTGGCGGCTGTCCTTGGATGGGGTGGAGAGAGGAGGGAGACCCCCGTGTCAAAGAGCTCAAGGCACCTGGCTTATGGGCCAGAGTACTGGACAGGGGCAGGGACTCAGCTGGGAACATGTATAACCTGGGACCAGTCAATGCCCAGCACTGGCCTCAGTGTGCCCATCCCTCAAAAGGGGAGAGACGGTCCTGCTGGTGATGGGCTGTGGGGCCAGGATGCGTGGCCAGACTCACTTTGATGAACTGCATGTCCAGCTTGGTGTTCTTCTCCATGTGCTGCAGCAGGTCTCCATGGAATGTCTGCACCTGTGTGGAGTGCAGGGTGGGGGTGATCAGGGCGGCCCTATCATCCCCAGGCCCCAGAGTTCCTTGCACTGCTCACTCCAATACATTGCCCACTGCGTTTCTAACACACCAGGCACCTCGCCAATCATCAGAGAGATGGGTAAAACAAGAGCACCTATTTGGATGGAGGATTAAATGGTTAAACATACAAAACATTTAGTGCAGTCCCTGGCTTGAAACACATCCTCCATAAATGTGTCGACATCTTCCGGTTCTTAGTCTCAGTCTGTGCCTTGATTATGCCTGGAATTTCCTACCAGTCTTCAAATACCAGCTTCACTGCCCCCTCTGCTGGGAGGCCCCCCTGACTCCTCAGGCAGAATTCATCACTCTCTCATTTTGTTTCTGGCATGTGTACAACTTGTTTGTTCATTGTTCGCTCCTCCAGCCATAAGATGGAATTTCTTGCCGGGCCCCTGGTCATAGCCTGTTTGTATGGGCAGCATGAACCAGGTCTGTCCCATCTCTGTGTCCCCAGCACTGTGGGCTGGGCCTGGCCCAGCAAAAGAGCTCACAACTGTTGAGGGCTTCACTGGGGTGGCAGGTTCCCGTGACAGGTGAGAAGGAGGTGGCTGACCACTTGGGTGGCCAGGAGGACCAGGAAGGCTATTGGGCTCAGGCTCAGAAAAGCTTCGTTCTAGCCGTTTTGGTTCTGCCTCCAATTTGCCCTGTAACTTTGGATGAGTTGCTGCCCCTCCCTGGGCCTCAGTTTCCCCATCTTTAATGGGAAAGTTTTGCCCAGATGGTCCCTAAGGTCCAGCCCTAGAACCCAATGAGCTTGATTCTGTGGGCCTTGGTGGCCAGCTGGCATTCTCCCCTGTGTCCCCCATCAGTGCTCCCTGGGTCACTCCCTGTTGTTAGGACATCAGACCTAAATCCTTCCATCTGTACTCTTCGCAAAGAGGAGCATCTCCCATCCTGCTGCCGCCTCTGGGGACACTTCCAACTCTGCTCAGCCTTCTCTGTGTGCCTGGCCTTTCCCCTCAGGAGTCCCTGCTCAAGAACCCTCGGTGGGGGACTTCCCTGGCGGTCCAGTCGTTAAGACTTCGCCTTCCAATGCAGGGCGTTGCAGGTTCGGTCCCTGGTCGGGGAGCTAAGATCCCACATGCCTCGCGGCCAAAAAACCAAAGCATAAAACAGAGACAATATTGTAACAAATTCAATAAAGACTTTAAAAACAAAAAAAAGAACCCTGGGTGGATCCTGGCTCCTGCCACAGGGGTCCCCAAGCTGTGCTCTGGGAGCTCTGTCCCTCAGGAAAAGGAATGCTGGTCGTCGGGAAAGACCAGTAAATTATAAAAGTTCTCAGTTTTTCTTCCACAGTTGTTTCTGAAACCTTGCTAACTGCTGGTCTATAAGGGAGCGTGGGTGTGGCCCCCTCAGGACTAGGCGGGCCTTAAACCCCTGAGTGTGGCTGCCAGTGTGTGTTTTGGGGGGTGGCACGGGATCAGTGTTACAAGCCTCTCTGAGTCCCCATTTCTGCCCCATGGGGGCCCTTTTCTGCTGGATCCAGGCAGTAAGGAAGTGAGCCTTCCTGACCTATACCTGCGGGACCTCCCGGTTCAAGGTTCTGCTCCAACACAGGACATATGTTCCTGAAAACTGCCACATCCTGCCAAATCGCCCAATTAAACAACAGGGCTTATGGAAGATGCAGGGTTGGGACTGATGCTCAAAACCCAGGCAACGTGGCAACCAGAGCACTAATAGAGACGGTGAATGGTACCTGGAGAGATGAACTTGAACCACGCCTAAGGCCGCGGAAAATATTAAAAATGCACAAAACCAATAGAATGGACGCACTGGCAACACCTGAATTACTGCAGAGCTGGCTTGTTGAGGTGATTCAGGAGGAGGTGGGGCTGTCATGATGGTGGAAATGGGAGGCTGCGACACCCAACCCCAGCTGAGAGCCCCGGGAGGCTGGGGGTGCTTGTCCTCCCCAGGGAGGCCTGGGTGCAGGAGCTCTTTTAAAATGTTCTTAAAATACAGCCTGGGGCTTCCCTGGTGGCGCAGTGGTTGAGAGTCCGCCTGCCGATGCAGGGGACACGGGTTCGTGCCCCGGACTGGGAAGATCCCACATGCCGCGGAGCGGCTGGGCCCGTGAGCCATGGCCGCTGAGCCTGCGCGTCCGGAGCCTGTGCTCCGCAACGGGAGAGGCCACAACAGTGAGAGGCCCGCGTACCAAAAAAAAAAAAAAAAAAAAATACAGCCTGAAGGGCTATTGCTGTCAGTGCAGCAGACAAGCTGGGGGCTTTACCCTTCTTCCTAAATCCTAACTTTCCCCTCCCTTTGCCTAGGAAACCTCACTTATGAACAAGCCACTTCCACGTCATAGAGTACGGCTTCTAGTAGCATAGGGACTATGTCACGCCACGGAAACATGCATTAGAGCAGGACAGGTGGATTGTAATTCTTCTCATTACCAGGGCTTGGCTGTGATCGCCAACAGCATAGAGGACACAGACCCAGGATGCCCCAATCAGACGGGGCCCAGGCATCAGTGTGTTAATGGAAAGTCATTGTCAAGCTCCCGAAGAAATTGATCTAATAAGATGTTGATACTTGAAGAGAACTTTGAACTCTCGCTGTGGGGGAACCACAGGACTGCCTATAACTAGCCGGTGGCTTCTGAAACAACGAAGTCACCAAATCCAGGGCAGGCTGAGGAATTCCCAGCAAGTCAGAACAGAGGCTGCCGTGCCCTGCTCCCCTCCCCCTGGGACACGCTCCATTAGCGGGGTCCTGTGAGCCCCTCAGTACAGAAGCTGAGAGCAGACCCCCTGCTGAGAACATGCACTGCAAGTTCTATGTATCGAGTTATTCCAGTAACTTGAGAAATCCTTTTGCTTTTGATTCAGGAAAATCCCTTTGGAAGAATTGTCTCTGTGGGCTGACCCCAGCTCCTTTCTTCCCATTTGCTCTTGAACACCCTCCATCAGGCTCCTGCCCCACCACGCCAGAAAGAGTGTTGTTCTCAAAATCACCGAGACGGCACCTCGCTAAGCCCCATGATCAATCCTCAGGACTCACCCAACTTGCCCCTTCATCATCATTGGACACAGTTGGCCACTCGCTCCTCCTGAGACAAGTTCCTCCCTCAGCTTCCAGCCCACCACCCTCTCCTTGTTTTCTTCACACGCCCCAGCTGCCTCTTCTCTGTCCTTTGCTCAGTGTCCCTCATCTCCCTGGTCCCCGAAGGTTGAGTTGCCCCGGGGGCTCAGCCATGGGCCTCTTCCCTTCTCTATCTACACCACTCCCTTGGTGAGCTCATGCAGTCCACTGGCTGATGCCTCCCAGATGTATGTCCCAGCCCAGATCCTCCCCCAAACTCCAGTCTCATCCATATGACAATATGGGCTCCATTCAGCCAAGAGGAAGAGACAAATATTGAAGATAGGCTATGAAGGTCTAACACACAGATAATAAGAGTCCCTGAAGAAGAAACGCAGAGAAAGAGAACAAAAAAAAAGTCTAAAAATTGTAATTCCAGACAAGTTTCCTGAAATTAAAAAAAAAGAGAAAGATTTCAAACTACATATTGAAAGAGGATACCACGTAACTAAGAATATTGTCCCAGACTGACCAATATCAAGAAATAGTCTGGAAAAGTTACTAGATTTAAGAAAAAGAAAAAAATTGGGCATCTAAGGCAAAAAAAGCAAGTGATTTACAATGGAAGAAATAGATTATCAGACTTTTCAACAGCAACATTCAAGATGAAAGAAAAAGAAAGAAAAGAGAGAAAGAAAGAAAGAAAGAAAGAGAAAGAAGGAAGGAAGGAAGGGAGGGAGGAAGGAATGAAATGTGAGCCAAGAATTTTATATCCAGCAAATCTGACTTTCAAGTATAAGGAGAACAAGCTGTTATCTTGGTGTCAGAACTCAGAGAACATTGTTCACACGAGCCCTTCCTGTGGGGACAATCAGAACAAGGCCAAAACGACGAGCAAGACATGGACACGTGGTTTGAGGTGAACATTAAATATGTAGTTACTTGTAAACAAAGATCAATGAGGGTGAAAGGGGAGCAAGCAAGGCGCAGCAGCTCTGGGTCCTGACAGTGTAGACAAAGCGCAGCTGCAGATACTCCGTTTTTCACACATTGAAGATTTGTGGCAACTTTACGTCGAGCAAGTCTATCGGTGCCATTTTTCCAACAGCATTTGCTTACTTTGTGTCTGTGTCACATTTTAGTAATTCTCGCAGTAGCTCAGACTTTTTTATTATTGTTATAATCTGTTATGGTGATCTGTGATCAGTGATCTTTGATGTTACTATTGCAAAACATTACGACTTGCAGAAGGCTTATATGATGGTTAGCATTTTTTGGCAATAAAGTACTTTTAAATTAAGGTATGAACATTGTTTTTTGACATAATGTTATTGTACACTTAATAGACTACAGTATAGTGTAGACATAACTTATATGCACAGGGAAACCAAAAAATTTGTGTGACTCTCTTTATTGTGATATTTGCTTTTTTGCAATGGTCTGGAACAGAACCCACAATATCTCCAAAGCATGCCTGTATTTTGAAAGTGGGGAGATGCTGGGGAGAGCAAATGTAAAACAGATTTTAACAGTTCTCAGAAATCATATTGGTGGTGGTAGAATTACTATCATTATTCAGAGACTGTTTTGTATATGTAACATGAGATAAAACAAACGGTAACTATGGGATCTTCTTATTCTTTCATTCTCTGTATCCTTAAGAATCAGGACTTTTTTTTTTTTTTTGGGCTGCGCGGCACGGCTTGCAGGATCTTAGTTCCCTTACCAGGGATTGAACCCGCACCCTTGGCAGTGAAAGCATGGAGTCCTAACCATTGGACCACCAGGGAATTCCCAAGAATCAGGATTCTTGATGTGGAACAAAAGAGATACTGGTGGAATAGGGAAGAGGTTAAGTAAAAATCTAGTGCTGAATCTGAATTGGAAGTATCAGTATGAATTTATGAAGTGTTCTATATATGTATTGTCACGTATGTATGTGTATATATATGTTTGTACAAATGTATGTATGTATCTATGTGTGTATGTATCTACGTATATATGTATGTATCTAGGCATATATCTATGTATTTAGGCATATGTAGCATATCTATTATATGCACATATGTATGTATGTATGTATGTATAGCACTGGCCACTGAAAAAGCCTAGGAGCAACGATCAACCCAATGGACACCCCTAGTGCCCAGATTATGGTCTTGAAATACCACTTTCCACTAAAAGCAAAGAATAAAAACAGGGCTTCATGGGGAGATGGCTGATTGTATGTGTAGAGCAGCAAAGTACCAGATGAGGGCAGAACATCTTGTCAGGCTGGATGGCAAGGAGACTGTCCGAACCATGAGAGTTATGCCAAAGAACTTGTGCGCCAGACTGAAGAGGCTTCTGCTGGTCAAAGCGGGGACATTTTCAACTTCAGTGAAATAATGATGGCAAAGGAGTAAAACAAAACAAATATGTTTAGATCTATGAGACTGACTAGATACTAAAAAATATGATACTAAAAAATATTATAGTGATGGTACTAGTAAAAAAATAAAGCTAACCGGTCACCTTCAGAGGATGACAGGGAGAAAATTCATGATCTTGGAAGCTGACAAGGCGGGAATAAGCCTTTATCCTGTCTTTCCCATAAGAAGCGTGCCACTGGGTAAAAAATAGCACATAAGAAGAAACGTCTCTTTAGAGAAATATTCCAGTTCATAAGTGAAAGAGCAGAATAGCAGCATCTCGTAACTCCCACGTATGAGTGGGTGCGGACACACAGCCTCCATTGCTGTTATCGTCACAAGGCAGCAGGAGCCACATGCCTCCTGATGGAAGAAGCCAGCACCCACTCTAGTCTTGCCAAACGGATGGAACCTGAGTCTGATCAAGCTTCTGGGTCCAGAGGACAGAGGAACAAGCTGAGCTGCATGAGGATGTTTGGAAAACCAACAGGTCAAAAGGTCCCAGGCCCTTCAACAGATAAATGGTAAGGAAAAGAAAGGGATGGAGGGGGAGCCAGTAGATTAAAAGAGACTCAAAGACATATTTAAAAAAAGAGAGAGCAAGACAAATACTAGCATCCAGGGACATACAACTGGGTGATCAATTATGAAGAAACACAAGGCAGTGTCGGACCAGTGGTCCCTTTTGGAGGAAGAGGGGGTCTGTGATTTGATGGGGGCATGTAGAAGGGCTCCAGGAAAGGCTGGCAAAGTTCCTGACCCGGGTGGGAGTTTCAAAGGTGGTTTGCCTTATAATGATTCATTCAGCTCGAATTTGTTCAGTGACACTTTCTATGCCTGTATTTTAGTTTACAATAAAAAAGCTTTGGTTTTTGAAAACCAAACTTGAGTCAGATCCTGTCATTCCTTTGCTCAATACACTCAGAGGCATGGCCGGAGTTCCGACAATGCCCTCAAGGCCCGGCCCCTTTAGCGGCTGGTCATCTCCACACTGGCCTTCGCTGCCTCCACTCCGGCCACGTGGGCCTCCTCAAGCCTTCCCATGTGCCGATCCCTCTGCCCAGGACACTCTTTTTGCAGGTGTCTCCCACTCACTCCCCACCTCCATCAGGCCTCTTCTCAATGTCACCTTTCTAGTGCCTTTCATCTCGAGCACATCTGTTAAAAATTGCATCCCTCCAATACTTCCTACCCCCCTTCCCTGGTCTATTTTTCTCCATAGCTTATTTTGCATCTAACCCATCACATCTGTACTCACTTACTTGTCCTGGGTTTTGTCTGGTTCCCCCTTGGGGAGAGCAGGGGGCTGTATCCCCAGTACCCATAGCAGTACCTGGCACAGGGCAGTAAACAGTTGTCGAATGAATGAGCCCAAGGGGGAGGTGGCCTCTGGTGTGTTCGGCCCAGTATGGCTCTGGCCAAGGGCCCTACCCTGTTGTCACAGCCAAGACACTGGTACCCAAAGAGGGCAGCTCTCCTTACAGAGCAGGCCTGGGTGACACTCGTCCGCGTCCAGCCCAGGTGTGCCACAGGTGACATGGAGAGCCATCAGACACAAGGACAGGAAGTTGCAGGCTGCCAGCGTGACCCATGCTCTGTAACTCCCCGCGCAAGCCCCAGGAGGTGGCATGGGCTTAGCGCTAAGCCTCAAAGTGCCTAGGAGAGGGACCCAGGGTCCGGGTTTTACCGAGTGTAGTGGATGCACGTTTTCTGCTGGTGAATTTGTTCCCCATTTCAACATGGTTACCAGACTGATGAGTGTTTTATGGTGCCCCAAAGAGTATCCAGACCTCCAGTGGTTTCCCACACACACATCTGAGAACCCTGCACTTCCACGGTTAGTTGAAATTTCCTCCCGAACTTTCCAAGGTTCCTCACACCCAGCCCCGCCCACCTTTCCCTCTCTGCCTGCCTCCCATCCCCAGCTCCCTTCTGCCCGATGTCATGCTCTGTACATGCTCAGCCCACGGCAACCTCTGGAAGGTCCTCTCCCTCTGGCCCAGCCCCACTCCCTTTTCAAAGCTTATTCTTTCCTTCCCAGTCAGTGAAGTCCTGCTTGGTGCCAGGTCCCTGTCCCAGGCCCTGGAGTTACAGAGAAGACCGTGTCCCAGCCCTGGCACAGCTTCCAGTCTTGGCAGGGATGGAGATGGGGGTAAATTCTGCTTCTAATGATCATAGCTAAGGTACATAGAAGGCTACAGGTGCCAAGGTCAATAGTTTATACTTATTAATACAATTAATGCTCACAAGAATCCTGCAAGGCAGTTATTATGATTATCTCCATTTCACAGACAGATACACTGAGCCATAGAGGTTAAGTAGCTTGTCCAAGGTCACAAAGCCAGTAACTGGTGGAGCTGGACTTTGAACCCAGGTGCTCTGGCTGCAGAGCTGGTTTTCTTCACCACTACTTGCTAAGAATGGATAGAAGCATCCGTTGAAGTCCAGAGGGAGGAGAGACTGAACTTGCCCAGGAGTCAGGGGAGGCTTCTTGGAGGAGGGGGTGACTGTGCTGGCCAGCAGGGGTGGGGGTGGGTGGGTCCTAGGCTGAGAGAACAGCGTGACAGCAGCCCATGGTGGGGACGCCAGGCGTGTCTGCAGAGGGCAGCTCTTCCGGCTGGCTGGGCTGTGACTGGGGGTGCCAGGGAGGCTGCTGGCTCAGCACGACCTGGAACCCCTTACCGAGGGGCTGGGTTTAGTTCTGCAGGTGGCAGGGCCGTGGAAGGGTTTTCTCCTAGGTGTGTAAGGTCAGATCACTGGCTGCTCCCTGGGGAGGCAGGTAGGGGCAGGGCCTGATGCACGCGGGTGACGGTCCTTTCGCTTCCTGGCTCCTCCACTCACTCTGGAATCTTGGGCGAGTGGCTAGATCCCTGAGACTCAGTTTCCTCCTCTGTCAAATGGGGATAGAAATGGCACCTGCCTCCCAGGTTGCTGGAGCTTGAACAAGATGTGCAGGTAAATGTGCCCAGCAGAGCTGGGCCCTGGCAGGTGCCCAAAAGGGCAGCTGCAGTTGTCATGTCACTAAAGTCCTCTCTGAGGAAGGGTGTGGAGGCCCTCGTCCCCCATAGAACGCAGCCCACTCTCCCAAGTGACCCCTCCAGGCTGTGGGGTCTGGGACTCACCACCACCTCCAGGTCAGAGTTCAAGTGCCGCTGGGTGTCGGACATCTGCACCAAGATCTCACCTGGAGGCACGGAGAGCGGCAGCTTCAGTGCGGGGACCTACCCTGCCCACCCTCTTCCCACCAGCAGCTGTCAGAAGGGCCTGCCCAAGGCTGGATTTGGGGACCAAATTCCAGGGGTTCCCCATACGACTCAGGATCTCTGGCAGCACCTGTCCTAGCCGTGGCAAAGTCCTGCAGGGAGGGGAGCGGAGGGTCCCTGGCTCCAGACAAGAGTCTGGGCTCTGGGCCTTGGGCTGCAAGACCTGTGTCTTTGGGGGAAACTTCCTGGAAGGGCCAGACTGTAAAAGGAACCCTCTCTGGGGCCTGAGAATGGGGGCAAGGCCGGTCCCGGGCCTGAGGGGAGGCACCAGGGAGGCAGGCAGAGGGGGGCCCGAAGCCTGGAACACAGGAGGAGGCCGGGCGGGGGGAGGGGGGCTAGGAGGAGTGTCCCCCAGGCCTAAGAAGATGAGTGGGGGAGATGGAGGGGAAGAGGCGTGCCTCACCCAGAATCTGCGAGGTGGAGCTCTGCAGGGCCTGCTCCCCGATCTTCTGGATGGCGTTGAAGTACACTTCTGCCGCCTCAGACAGAGCTGCGTGGAGAGAGGGACGCGTCCAGCCCCAGACGCCTCCTCCATGTGCCCCTCCCCACTTCTGGAGGCCTCTCCTTCTGGCAGGAGAGAGTGTGGAGGGGATGCCTCGGGCTCTGGCGTAGGCGTGTGGAGAGGGGGCATCGGCCAGAGGAGGGGCGTGGAGGAGGGGGGGTGAAAAAGCGGGGGATGGGCTCTCCCTGAGGGGCAGGGCGCAGGGCAGCTGCCCCCAGCACAGGGCCTCGGCCTGTGTCTGTCTGGGAGGGGGCGGGGTGCAAGCATCTGTGTGTGCCCAGGAGGGCGTGGGCGGGTGTGTTGTGAGGCATCAAGTGGGTCTGGGGGTGGCATGGGCTGAGGTCACTTCTGTGAGGACTCTGAAGTCCTAAAGGGCGGGGAGGGATTGGGTGACACTCAGCTCTGGGTGTGTCCCTGGCTTGTCCATCCGGCAGGTGGCTCACAACCCTCTGCTAATTAGCTCTGGGGGTGGGGCAGTGGCTGGGAAATGGGGGAGATGGGAGCTGTTTGCACAGGCGCTGAGCGAGGGGTGAGGTCTGGCTGTAGGTGGCTGGAAGGGGGGCAGGTCAGGGTGCCAGGCTGGGGGTGCAGAGGTGGCCTGGGTACGGCAGTGGGCTCCAGCATCAGGGTGGCATAGAGAAGTGTGTGTCGTTGGGGTTTTGAGAGCCTGCAGGGCCTGGCACTCACCGTGGAAGGCCCGGAGGTAGTTGTTCCCCAGGTACACCAGGTTCTCCAGGGCGGGGTTGAACTGCTCCATGATGCTCTGGAGTCCAAGGGTGGTGGGAGGGTAGAGATGGGGAGAGGAAGACGGAATGATGGGCCTCAGGATCAGGGCACCCCCAACCCCAGTGAGAAGCCTGACTCAGGGGAGCCCGCCTAGAAACCTGGAGTCACCCAGAATTCTGGCTCTTGGCTGCAAGGACCTCAGAGGCCAGCATCCAGACCGGGGTCCCCTTGGCCGGCTCCAGATCACCACCTGCCCAGCGGGAACTTGTGCCTGGAAGGTTCTCCTCCCACTGGCTGAAGCCTGTGGTCTGTCACAGCGCCCAGCTGGGCGTGGCTCAATGCTGCCTTGAGTTCAGCCACCTCAGGGGCAAGGGCAGACCTTGCCCTGCTCAAAGAAGAGCCCCTGGGGAGCAAGGCTGTGGCCGAGTCCCTTGGGCTGCCGCAGGCCATGGCCAGCTGGAGAGCACCCTGTGTAGAGGACTTAGACTTGGGTCTTGATTCAAATCTCAGCAGCCCCTCTTCTTCCCTTGGTGACTTTGAACTAGCTGCTTAGCCTCTCTGGCCTCAGTTTTCTTATCTATCAAATGGGGTGATTATTTTCTACCTCAAAGATAGGGTGTTGTGAGGTTTACATGTTGAAAGGGTCCTGCACACAGTAGGTGCTCAGTAAATGTCTATGGAGACCGCAGCAACCCCCCTGGAGTCGAGTAGGAAGTTTGAGTGAGGGGCTCAGAAACCAGAGAGAGACAGACAGGGAGACACAGAGAGAAAGAGACAAAGAGAGACTCCCCTACCCTGGGGCGGCCAGGTGGCTCTTCGGGCGGGCCCCCTGCTCCCAGCTAAGGCCACCCTGGGCGCTGTCCTGCCTCATCCAGCGTTTGGGAGTCTGTCTCAGCAGTCCTGTCACTCACTGGCTGAACCCGTGCTCTGGGAGCCTCAGGTTGCGGCTGGAGTGGCCGACTGCCCCCAGGGACCCCCACCCCCATGCCCACTGCTCAGCGCAGCCTGGTTCTAGGCCTTCTTTCCTGGAACAAGCTGCTGCTATGCTCACGCTCTGTCCTCCAGAGCTGGCCGACCTTCAAGCCCTGGGAGCGGGGGCGGCAGCCGGGGCCTGGGCCACGCACACACTCACCTTGTAGATGGCCATGGTGGACCTGTAGAACTGGTCCATCTCGGGGGCCATGGAGTGGGCGCACCCGGGCGCTGAGTAGAAGGCTGGTGGCACTAGCAGGCCTGGGAGCACCGGGGGTCGGTACCCTCCAATGCCCACCGCTCAGCGGGCTGTGAAGGAGGCTGCAGAGTGGGACCCGGAGATGGAGGGCTGGCCAAGGAGGAGGTGGCAGCTTAATTATTCACCAGCAAGGGATGTCAGAATGCGATCTGGGGCGTAACCAGACCCGGCGGGGAAGGCATTCTGTGACGCGGGCGGGTTCGTGTGACCTGCGCTTCAATTATTTACCCCTCTGAGCCGCGGACCGGTGGGCACGCGTGGATGGCCACTCTCCTGGGTCACCTCCTCTTCAAGGAAGAGCCTTTCCCAGGCCAGCAGGGACCCCTAGCTCTGGGGGACCCCTGCCCTCCCACCTGCCTACACTGGACAGTGCCCACCCTATTGGGCTCGAGCTGTGCAGTGACCACCCCCGGACCCTCCCTGGAAGTCCGTCCCTGCAGGCGGAAGTCACCCACGGCTCATCACTGTTCTCAGGCCCCCTCTCTACCCTGAGCCCCTCAGACCTGCAGCCCAGGGGCTGAGGCTCCTACGCCCGCTGCCGCCCACCCAGAGACGGGACAGCACAAACCCTGGAGTCGCACAGACCTGCGGGCACGCTTTGGCCCTGGTCACTTGCTGTGTGACGGTGCCCGAGCCCCCTGCCCTCTCTGGGTCTCATCCCCTCCTCTGGCAAGTGGGGCTCTCCCTCGCCCTCCACCGTGGGGCAGGCGGGCCTGGCGGCCACCTCTGCACACCCTCAGGCCCTGATTTGGGGAGGCCTAAAGAGGAGAGGTGTCCCTAGCCCGCGGAGCCTGGGAACCAGAGCTTCCATCCGTCTGCGTGGGCACAGGCAGGTGACAGCCAAGGCTGAAGGTCAAGGCTGAGGGGGGCTGGCGGGGGGGGGGCACTCACACCACAGTGCACACAACACAGGCAAACCAGAACTGAACCATTTATTTCACAGTTCGGGGCAGTCCCTGGAGCCCCTCCCCAGTCAGAAACCACTTTCTGTCGGGAAGAATAACTTAAGTCACAGGAGTGGCCTTTGAGAGCTGAGGACAGCTCGTGGGTGGGCAGCTGGGGTGCGCGGAGGGGCAAAGTCGAATGGGACACCCCACTCCTAGGTCTTCCCTCCCGATGGGGTGGTGATGGCCCGCTTCTCTGGCTCCACCCCCAGCGGAGAGGGCAGAGGGTAGAAGGGGTCTCTGCAGCTCCAGGGGCCTGGGAAGAGCCTGGGGCCCTCTGGGAGGCCTTAGTGTTTGAGCCACCTTGGGGGTCAGGGAGCAGCCTGAGTGAGGCCTGAGGCTTCCTAAGCTGGAAGGACACAAAGAGCCAGCAGGCGGGGACAGAGCGGGAGAGAGGCCTGAGGACCAGCCTTACGCAGGAAGCCCCGTGCCCCGCTAGGCCGGGGCTGTGGACACAGAGCTGCCTGGGCCTGGCTCTGCCCCGCCTCCCAGCTGGGCCTGGGGACAGCTGGGGGCCCGGCGGCCTCACGGGGAGAGCAGCAGCTGGATGAGCTCCTGGAACTGCTCCCGGTGCTCGTAGATGTAGACCTCAGTCTCCCAGAGGGCGTTGACCAGCACCGTGTCATTGACCTCGTCCAGCATGATGTCTGTCCCCAGCTGGGGACTCAGTCTGTCCGGATCAAGGAGGAGGGGTCACCCCCAGGACACTCGGCCTGGGTAGGGGACAAGGGCTAGGACTTGGGCAGACTCGGGACACACAGCACCTCCTTGGGGAAAGGGAAAGTCCAGGCTGGGGACTGGGGCCAGCAGAGCCCTCACCTGAAGTACTGGATGCCAACCATCTCGCACCAGGCCCGGGCCCGGTCCACGGCCCGCCCGTCCGGATCTGTGCACTGGTGAGAAGCAGCCTCTGTGAGCGTCCAGCACACACCACACACACAGCCCCTGCCTAGGGTCCCCAGGTTCCAGGTTGGCTTAGCCCCCTATCAGCAGAGTGCCTTAAGGCAAATCCCCCTTTCTGGGCTGCAGTGACTGTCCCAGCTATGCAGAGGGGCACGGTCTGTGGCTTTGACAGGTGGCTCGGCAGCGTTCAGGGTCAGTGAGCATGGAGGGGCTGAGTGGACAGGCCTCCACCTCCCTGCCCCCTTAGCTTTTGTCCATCTGACATTCTGGGCTTCCACATGGGCTGTGTTTGAAGGAAGAAATCCACAGCTAAAAAATGCTTGAAAATCCCACTGGAGGTGGTCACCGAAGGTCCCTGCCAGCACTGAGACACTATAGGGGAAGGGGAACGCCCCTGCCCCGAGCTGGCTGAGGAGGGTCAACAGAGCCCTGCCATCCCCATGACACCCAGGGTCCCACGGGAAGCCTCATCCTGGGGCTGAGATCCCAAGGGAAGTGGGCCTGGGGAGGGGCCCATACTCACACATTCCACCACCATCTTGCCCAGTTCCTTGGCCCCAAAAACAGTCTTGGCCAGTTCCCAGGGGCTGCTGGGACGGAAGACGTCCACACAGGTCACAGGCACCTGCGGGGACCTCCCTGTCCCCAAGGAGACGACAACGGAGAGTTTCTTCACCTTGTTGCCCTGACCCTGTTGGGACAGGACAGGTGAGAGGAGGCCTGCCCCACAGATGGGGGGCACCCAGGGGTAAGAGAGAGGCTCCCTGGGGGCTTGTGAAGAGGAGCACAGGCCTCCTGTGGCAGAAGCACAGCCTGCGCCGCCTCTCTTTTGCTTCGGAACAAGTTCTCCTGCCAGTCTTCTGGGCGACCTTGGCAACCCACCTACCCAGGCTCCCCATGCACTCAGACGAGTGATGTTTGAGCACCCTTCCCCATCCCACAGTCTCACTGATTCCTTCTTCCTCCAGGAAGCCTGCCCTTCCACATGTGGCCCCTAGAGAGCGCTCACCTCCCTGCCGCCTGCGGTTTCATCAGGGGCTTGGTGATGACCGCAGTGACAACTACAGCCAACAAGGATGCGGCACACTCAAGGTCAGGCACTGTCCTAAACATTTCACAGATAAGAGGCCACGGAAGCCTCACGACAGTCCCCAGGCAGGTACTATCAACAGCCCTAGGCAGTGGCTGAGGTGAAGCACGGGCAGAGGCAGGCCCCAGACCCAGAGGCCCCCACACCACACTGCTTCTCCTAACCTGAGTGGGCCCTGCCCACCTCTGCACGAAGCTCCTCGGGCTGAGGGCCGCTTCTCTTCCTCACGATCACTGACTCTGCACTGCCCCATCCCCAAAGGCCTCAGCATGGGCTCCCCTCCTCTGTGAGCCCTTTCTGAGCCCTCATGTCTCTCAGCAGGGGTGATGCTCCTGGGCCCCTGCACAGTTCTCTGTCACAGCACCTAAAACACTCGGATGGATGTGTCCTTGTTTATGGACTGTCTCCCCTAAATGTGAGCTCCCCAGGCGTGTGTGTCCAGGCCGGGCAGCGTGGCTAGGCCTGTAAAGCGGCACATACTGGTATGCATGCTGTCCTCCCCACACACAGCAGATGCTGTTAATTGATCATAACACCCTTCACCACCTAGTCCGGACTGGGCCTCAGAATCCCTCTTAGCACAGTGCTTTGGGCAGACACCACCACTCAGGCAGGTTCGAGCGTGACATAAAATTGCTGTTAAGTGCACAAATGAATGAATGCATGAAGAAAAGCCATTTGCTCTCCCAGGAGTCAGCCCAGAGTACAGTCAAGACCGCTGTGGGCGGTCAGTTCCAGCCCCTCCAACCCGAGGTGGCTCTCACCTTGCGGATCAAGTCCTGGTTGTACTCATGGATCTCCGTCATGGCGTCCAGCGTGGGGTTGTTGGCCAGCAGCCCGCCATCCAGGAAGCGCCCGCTGGGCCGGAAGTAGGTGGGGGCTGCCCCACTGCTCCGGGCTGCCCGCCACACCAGCTGCTCTGCGGGTGGGGGAGGAGGGGGCCCAGTGGCACAAGAGATGTGCGTTTCAGATCTAAGGGTGTGTGTGTGTATGTGTGCACATGGCACTGTGGGAAGAGGGTGAGGCTGGGGGCTCTTCAGAAGCAGGACCGACAGGCCATGCTGTCTGGCCCCGCCATCCTGGTGGAAGGCAGGGTGCAGCCTGCCCGAGGCCTGATGGCTCCCTGGCTCTGCCGACCCTCAGCTGATACCCTTGGGAGGGACGACCAGGGCAGTGGGTGGGATGGTGGTGGGCTGGGGGTGCCTGGCAGCAAGCTTGCGACTCCCACCCACCAACCTGCAGCCTCTCGGGCCAATCACTTCCCACAGATGTATCAAACATGGTTTTAACCTGAGGGTTGAGTTGGAGGCTTTAGGTTAACGTTCTGGCCAATACGAGGCTCCCGTACACACTCTGGAGCCTCATAATTCCGGAAGAGGTGGAGTTCAGCCGGCTGCCGGTCGGACAGTGTCCCTGTCAGCATCACCCTGGAGAGAAACAAGGAGCAGGACACTGAAGCCACTGACCCATCCGCCCTTGACAATCCACCTTTGGGAATTTTTGTCCAAACCACCGACGCACTAATTCTTAAACTCAGCATTCCTACTTCTGGGAACCCATCCTAAGACACTCCCACATGTGCGGGGAGATAGGCACACACTAGGCTATTAATGGCATTAAATCAAACGACTGGAAACAACTAAATGTCCACCAGTGGGACGGTTCATGCTCCGCGGCTCCTCTGCGCAGTGGGGTCTGTGTCGCTGGAGAACGGCTGAGGTATTGCTTCGTGCACTGATGGATAGTGAGCGCCAAGATTTATATTTAAGTGGAAAAAGCAAGGTTCAGGACAGTGTGTATAATATGCCACCGTTTATTTAAAAACAAACCCCCAAAGACCCTATGTACCTATTTGCTTGGTCAGAGGGTAGCTCTGGAAGGACCCATGTGCAGAACCTGGCAACAGTGAGCTGCCTCTGGGACAGGGGACTGCTTGGGGGCTGCAGCTCCAGGACAGGAGTCGGGGGAGACTTTTCAGCATGTCATCTCTGATACCTAATCAGTGTTCTACCATGTGAGTCTAGAACCTATTAAAGAAGACTCCTAACTGTCTCAAGAGACTCAGACATCCTTAAGTACTGAGGGGAGTGTAGACTGACACAGCCCCCTTGGAAACTAATATGTATTCAGACCCTTACAAATGTCCTGGCTCTTTTTAAAAAAATTTATTTTCTTTCTTTATTTTTGGCTGTGTTGGGTCTTTGTTGCTGCATGAGGGCTTTCTCTATTTGCC